GCTCGGGCCTCATCACTCCACAGACTTACAGAGAACATTGCAGGCGAGCCTACAGGTGCAGGCAGCAATGTAAAGGCAGCAGCAGCATTAGCGAGGCAGAGACAGATAGATCTGAGTTATATAGAGCGGCAGGTTTAGGAGAATGTGTTTAGTGGGTTGTAAGAGGGACGAGGCACGTCACGTTTGAATTCATTGGTTCTTGAGTCGACTGCCTGAACTAGCTGCAGGCTTCGCCCCATTTGTAGTAGTTTTTAATTTTTCCAAGTTCATACGTTGCAAAGTTCTCTATATTACTCTCTAAATTACTCCATTTCTAATTTCCTGACACCACTTAAAAAAGCTAGCTACAGTAGTACAGCATGGTAGATGGTAACAATAACTTTTGTGCAAGGGTTATTCAAATGTGTCTGTAATTGTTCAGACAAAAGAATACCTAAAAATAATAAAATCAATTTGAATGGCAACAAATATGTAAATGTAATTGCTGTCCCAGCTATTCCACAAGTAAAATTGACAACTGTTCAAATAAAAAATGTCTGCTTACATGTGTGGCCACCAATGTTGTCTTTAGTTTTATTATTTAGTTGTATTTGTTGTTGTTGTTTTTACATTATTGTTCCTCAAAGATTATTTAAATAAACCTGTATAACATGGCTTAATCGAGTTGCTGTACTTGATAGCACTTGAAAAGCGTACACAGAGTGAGGGGGGGGGGGGGGGGGGGGAATGCTGATGGAGTAAGATGTGAAGTAATAAACCAAAAGAGCGCTGGATGAGGAAGACACCAAGCTGTCCCAAAGAGCCTGAACAAGACGCAATGTGCCATCAAGGTTTTAAACGGATTCACTAAAGCAGCTGGAACTTTACATCATAATTACACTTACAATAACACATTTCCAAAATGAAAATAAAACAATCAAATCAGCATTACTTTAGTTTACATCTAATGTGATATTAACAAAAACATAAACACCTACTGATATTTATTTCCTTTTTCTGTTAAATTATTTCCCTTTGACAGAACATAACAATGGCAGTAAGTGAGTGAGTGAGTGAGTGAGTGAGTGAGTGAGTGAGTGAGTGAGTGAGTGAGTGAGTGAGTGAGTGAGTGAGTGAGTGAGTGAGTGAGTGAGTGAGTGAGTGAGTGAGTGAGTGAGTGAGTGAGTGAGTGAGTGAGTGAGTGAGTGAGTGAGTAAGTGAGTGAGTGAGTGAGTGAGTGAGTGAAGCCTGCGACCTAGTTCAGGCCATCAACCTGAGCTACAATGATACATGAACATGACGTGCCTGCACTCACCACCAACCAAACACGTTCTCCTAAATCTGGTGCTCTTTGTAAGCTGCCAGACTTGCCATCTCTCTCTGCTCTACTTCTGCACCACTGCTGCTTTTCTGCTCCAGCATCCACCTGTTGGCTCTGGCGATTCTGTTATTTAATAAGCACTCTTTGTAAAAATGTCTTGTAGAGTGATAATAGTGGAGCCTCAATGCCTAACTTTTTTATACTTTTGTAATAAGCATTTTAAATGTGAGTTGTTGTACAGTTCATCTTTCAGTCCACATCTTTGACTGAAATCAGTTACATTCCATAATGGCGTTTATGATTCCATCTCTGCAACAAGACACCAAAGCTGTTTTCAGCCCCCACGTACCCTTCACCAGTGGTCTGACACAATTCAAAGTAAGCTTTACAGGAAACCCACAGTGACAAACATCCCCTCACTCGCTCAGCATGCAGACAGACTGAAGCTGCAGATAGTGACCTGCTGAAGGTGTTGGTGGAATTGAGTTTAGTTTTTTGATCAATGTTTAAGTTTATTCTGAAAAGTGGTAGATTTTGTTCACATGATAAAAGTCTCCACAATCTTGAAGTCAGAGGTCAGTTTCTTAGATGTTGTTATTTATGTATAACTTCATCAACCTCAGCTATGTTTAGAAGTACAGTTTATTTTTGAATCTGTCATATCAGTGACCACATCATAACTGTGAGATCAAATAAGACGAGCTCTGGTTGCACTTTGCAACAGGGCCATCGTTTGCAGACAGATGCAGAGTGTGGTTTCATACAACGTCATATTTAAGATATGATGTTTATCTGCATTGTTGAGTCTGAATAACATCTTGTGGCATTTTCGGATGGAAGATTTTTGTTGCAAAATAGTATTTTCACTTAATTACCTTTGACTTATTCAAAGGTAACTCATAGTTATCAAGTCTTGATTTATCTTTATACACACCTACAGTACATTGAAATAATGAGGCTGGGAATATTGCAAAACAGGTTATGCTTGGAAAAACAGAGAAGGATGAGGGGATGCTGATTGTGAACTTTAGCCTCACCGGCTGCAGGTGAAACTTTTCTGACTTCTACTGGAGAAGGGTTAGGGCAGAAAAGAGAAGTTATGTGTTATACTACATTAGCTGGGATATGCAAGTTGACCTAGATCAGAAGCTCACCTACCGGGCAGAGATCATCACAACCAATCTCAGGCCAGATTTGATCACTGCTCCCAGTACTAGGATGGGTAAAAAGCAGAGAACAAATGTCACTGTGTGTGCTGTGTGCTCTGCATGTGTGACCATTAAAGAGGGTTTCCCTCCAATTCTGGGATGGAAAACACAGGTTCTCCCAGTGGAGGACGGCTGCAGAGGCTTTGTAGCCAGATAAACCACTAGGCTTCTTCAAAGCATGGGGGTCCGAGGGCAGGCACTCCGACAGGCCATCAAGTCACTGGGAGAAGCAGCTGACCAAAGTAGCAACTGGCTGTGGCTGAAAAGGAGAGATTCCATCTGGGCTGCAAAGTAGTAGAAGGGGTAAAAGCGGTGTGGGGGGGCTCACCTGGGACGCCAGGTGAAACCGTTGAGCCCTCTGGAGATGTTGTGGGCCTATCAACGAAACACTGAGGAAAGACGGTGCCCACCTTATGACCCCAATGATGTTATTACCCCTTTATCTACTCAAGAACTCAAGAAGGTGCCAATTATTATAAGGGATTTAAAAAGAAATCAAATCCTATGAGCTCAACAAAGTAGGGGCCGATCCGACCCATTTCAGCAAAAGCTGTTCTTTTCAAGGGGCTTGTTAAATATATCTTAAAAAGTGTGTTTTCTGCTTCCTCATTGTTGGACAATGTTTGAAATTCAGAAATTCGCAAGTTTAAATCGACATGAAACTGCTTTTGGGATGGCAGCGTTTAAAATGATCAGATTTTTGTATTTAGAGCAGAAAATTGAAACCTCACATAATAATCACTCACAATCCATACCTCGAGTTGGCCACTTTCACACTGGACCGTCTCAAGCTCTGGGAACTGATTACAAAATCTATTAATGTGGAACATTTAAGGTGCAACAACAGTCAATCCAAAACATCCCTCTTATTATTGTATGTGAGCAAGTGAATGTCATCAGCACATGAGGAAGCTCAAACAGACATACAGACCTTCAAAGGACTGCAGAGCCTATGCAGTCATACTGAAGATGTACACTAGTGGCCCGTTGAACTATAAAACCAAGCCGTTAGCTGAAATAGCATACAGCCCTTTGTATTAAACAAAAGGTTTAGAAAACCACAGTCATGGTTAAATGAGTGAAGACATTAGCAGTTGTATATCTTCCAGCAGTCAATAACTGTCCAACTCTCAGCTAAGCCAGCTCAAAACAAACTTGTAACACTGCACCAAACCTATACACATTGCTGGTTGGTATAGTATTTATATTCAAATATGAGCCTACATTTTCTTTAATTAATAACACGATCTGTGAGCCGATGATTTTGTGTGCTTTTATTCCTATTAGCTGTAGCCAAAGCAGCAGCTACAGTATGATGATTACTTTACTCTTTGACCAGGTGACATTATGGAAGGCGAGCAGAGTGTTTCCATAAGAACAGAACAACAGTGGTAGCCAAGCAGATCACAGCTTATGTGCAAGGTCTCTGCACACTCTGGGCTACACACTTAAGTTGTTGTTACGAATTCAACGCTCCTGTATTGTACATATTGTTGAGGTCTGATGATGAAACATGTCCAAATTGTGAACTTTGAAGAATAAACAAAATAAAGTCTTGATTCCTGGTCCATTAAGTTAAAGGGGTTAATTGGGGATTCAACACATTTCTTAGAGCAGGATCTACTTAATATGATCCATTTGACGCGTTTATTTTATTTAAGCAGGGAAAAAGCATAGGGATCCATGCCCTCTGTTAGAAGTTACAGTATAGTAACAAATGAGGCAGTCTTTTGTTACTGTACACAGTAAAGACATGCATTTGATCCTTTACTTTAGTCCTATTGGAGGATGTTCAACTTGTAGCAATTGTGCATCATTATGTCCAAGTCTATAACTCTGAAATATTCAAATATACAGTGTAAGTCCTTTGTGTGAGGTACTACTCAAGTTTTTTTAGGCTGTAATCTATCGTGTAAATGGCTACATCTCAGTTAGACGCTGAGGTTAATCCTTTTTAGGACTATATCTCCTCTAGTGATCGCATCAAACCAATAGAAAACAAGATCAGAAAAAAATGTTCCACTCAACCTGCCAATCACCATCTATACTTCCTTTAATGGAAAAGTCTGCGTAGGACATGACACTGTTTCGCTTTGCTCTAACTCTTGGTCTTCATCACACATGGACAGGCTGCACATTTTCATATATGTTCTCTTGGGTAATTATTTTTGATTTATTAATTACAAATCCATTTGGAAAGAATTGGTATTTACCTTCTCTTTATGTTTTTAGGAGGAGGAATCTGCCCCTGCTGTAATGTGAAACCCTGTTACACTGAGCCTATTGTGTTTGTTTTCCAGGAGTTGTATCTTTCAGTCATGGTTGGACCTCTGGATCAGAGTTGGAGATGACAGTCAGACCAGGAGAAAACATCAGTCTCTACTGTGACTGCAAGTTATCAACCGGAGTATACATCGTGTGGTACAGGAACTGCTCTCATGAGAACCAGCCTTCTCTCGTCCTTAAAAATGTATGGACACTAACCACAAACATTGAACGCGCACTTAATCCTCTCCCTCGTTTCCACTTTGTGAGAAACTTTTCCTCTGAGTCCTATGACCTGCTGATCATTAACACCACTGAGACCGATGAAGGGCTCTACTACTGTGGAACTGAAACGTTTTATGTGGAGAGTGAAAAACAAATTATTCGCAGACATCTTTACACAAATGGCAACGTCTCAACAAGAATCCGATTAAGTAAGTGTGCTGTTCCAGTTTTGTACCTGCAAGATATATATGTGAGTGAAGTGTATGGAATCAATTGACTTAATGTGCATGGTACAGTACTGAAATACTGTAAACATTGTTACAAATAATTTCCTTAATTCTGGGGCTGCATGTTTCATCCATATGTATTTATTCTTTATTTTTGTGCATGGTGAGCTTTGGGATGATTCTATTTCAGGCTCAAGCAATATTGATTCATACATTGCATTTGCTGGAATGAGTTAAAAGAAGTACAATACAAGACAAGCACAAGTTTCATTTGAGGGCCATACTGCATTATATTTGTTGAATTAGCTGAGGGCTGATTCAAAATGGCCCGGGGGCCAAATGTGGACACCCCTGAATTAAGCTAATCGACAAAACTTTTTGTTTTAGACTCCAGTGAGCCTGATCACAATGAGACTTCACAAAACTGTGGTGTAATGCGAGACTGCAATGGTGTGTGCTGGATGCTGCTGTTCTCTCTGTGTCCAGCTGTTGCTGCTCTGTCCTCTCTCCTCTCCTCTCTCCTGGTGTACCACCTCTGTAAGAAAGAAGGTAACTAATGTTTATCTCACTTTTAAAGTTTAACTTGTAATGTCAGACATATCTGTGATAATTCATTGACAATGATTCTCTTCTCTTGATACTGTGTGAGTGTACCATGCTGTAATGATGAAGTATTGAATTATGCAGCTAAAGAACCTCAAACTGATCAGCAAACACCTCAAACAAGACAAAATCAGGTAGGTGAAACAGTAAAATACAATTATCATGACAATACATCTGAAAATGATTATAATTCTAAACAACAAATGTCATATTTAAGGATCAAGATGTGTGCTTTGCTGCACTGGAAATTCGCCCGGCGTCACATCGACCAAAGAGGACGACAACCCAGAGTTCTGTCACCTATTCTGCCATCAACACTTCTAGGATGTAAAGAGTTTGAACAACAGCACAAAGCAGAATATATGACTGAGGTGTAAGAAAATGTGCATAAAATACATTTCAGTCAGAAAACTCATGTTTTTCTTTGATTTGTTTATTAGAAGCAGCATACTTTGAGTTTGGCTTCTTGGCTCGGGCCTCATCACTCCACAGACTTACAGAGAACATTGCAGGCGAGCCTACAGGTGCAGGCAGCAATGTAAAGGCAGCAGCAGCATTAGCGAGGCAGAGACAGATAGATCTGAGTTATATAGAGCGGCAGGTTTAGGAGAATGTGTTTAGTGGGTTGTAAGAGGGACGAGGCACGTCACGTTTGAATTCATTGGTTCTTGAGTCGACTGCCTGAACTAGCTGCAGGCTTCGCCCCATTTGTAGTAGTTTTTAATTTTTCCAAGTTCATACGTTGCAAAGTTCTCTATATTACTCTCTAAATTACTCCATTTCTAATTTCCTGACACCACTTAAAAAAGCTAGCTACAGTAGTACAGCATGGTAGATGGTAACAATAACTTTTGTGCAAGGGTTATTCAAATGTGTCTGTAATTGTTCAGACAAAAGAATACCTAAAAATAATAAAATCAATTTGAATGGCAACAAATATGTAAATGTAATTGCTGTCCCAGCTATTCCACAAGTAAAATTGCCAACTGTTCAAATAAAAAATGTCTGCTTACATGTGTGGCCACCAATGTTGTCTTTAGTTTTATTATTTAGTTGTATTTGTTGCTGTTGTTTTTACATTATTGTTCCTCAAAGATTATTTAAATAAACCTGTATAACATGGCTTAATCGAGTTGCTGTACTTGATAGCACTTGAAAAGCGTACACAGAGTGAGGGGGGGGGGGGGGGAATGCTGATGGAGTAAGATGTGAAGTAATAAACCAAAAGAGCGCTGGATGAGGAAGACACCAAGCTGTCCCAAAGAGCCTGAACAAGACGCAATGTGCTGTCAAGGTTTTAAACGGATTCACTAAAGCAGCTGGAACTTTACATCATAATTACACTTACAATAACACATTTCCAAAATGAAAATAAAACAATCAAATCAGCATTACTTTAGTTTACATCTAATGTGATATTAACAAAAACATAAACACCTACTGATATTTATTTCCTTTTTCTGTTAAATTATTTCCCTTTGACAGAACATAACAATGGCAGTAAGTGAGTGAGTGAGTGAGTGAGTGAGTGAGTGAGTGAGTGAGTGAGTGAGTGAGTGAGTGAGTGAGTGAGTGAGTGAGTGAGTGAGTGAGTGAGTGAGTGAGTGAGTGAAGCCTGCGACCTAGTTCAGGCCATCAACTTGAGCTACAATGACACATGAACATGACGTGCCTGCACTCACCACCAACCAAACACGTTCTCCTAAATCTGGTGCTCTTTTTAAGCTGCCAGACTTGCCATCTCTCTCTGCTCTACTTCTGCACCACTGCTGCTTTTCTGCCCCAGCATCCACCTGTAGGCTCTGGTGATTCTGTTATTTAATAAGCACTCTTTGTAAAAATGTCTTGTAGAGTGTAACAGTGGAGCCTCAATGCCTAACTTTTTTATACTTTTGTAATAAGCATTTTAAATGTGAGTTGTTGTACAGTTCATCTTTCAGTCCACATCTTTGACTGAAATCGATTAGTTACATTCCATAATGGCGTTTATGATTCCATCTCTGCAACAAGACACCAAAGCTGTTTTCAGCCCCCACGTACCCTTCACCAGTGGTCTGACACAATTCAAAGTAAGCTTTACAGGAAACCCACAGTGACAAACATCCCCTCACTCGCTCAGCATGCAGACAGACTGAAGCTGCAGATAGTGACCTGCTGAAGGTGTTGGTGGAATTGAGTTTAGTTTTTTGATCAATGTTTAAGTTTATTTTGAAAAGTGGTAGATTTTGTTCACATGATAAAAGTCTCCACAATCTTGAAGTCAGAGGTCAGTTTCTTAGATGTTGTTATGTATGTATAACTTCATCAACCTCAGCTATGTTTAGAAGTACAGTTTATTTTTGAATCTGTCATATCAGTGACCACATCATAACTGTGAGATGAAATAAGACGAGCTCTGGTTGCACTTTGCAACAGGGCCATCGTTTGCAGACAGATGCAGAGTGTGGTTTCATACAACGTCATATTTAAGATATGATGTTTATCTGCATTGTTGAGTCTGAATAACATCTTGTGGCATTTTCGGATGGAAGATTTTTGTTGCAAAATAGTATTTTCACTTAATTACCTTTGACTTATTCAAAGGTAACTCATAGTTATCAAGTCTTGATTTATCTTTATGCACACCTACATTCCATTGAAATAATGAGGCTGGGAATATTGCAAAACAGGTTATGCTTGGAAAAACAGAGAAGGATGAGGGGATGCTGATTGTGAACTTTAGCCTCACCGGCTACAGGTGAAACTTTTCTGACTTCTACTGGAGAAGGGTTAGGGCAGAAAAGAGAAGTTATGTGTTACATTACATTAGCTGGGATATGCAAGTTGACCTAGATCAGAAGCTCACCTACCGGGCAGAGATCATCACAACCAATCTCAGGCCAGATTTGATCACTGCTCCCAGTACTAGGATGGGTAAAAAGCAGAGAACAAATGTCACTGTGTGTGCTGTATGCTCTGCATGTGTGACCATTAAAGAGGGTTTCATCCCTCCAATTCTGGGATGGAAAACACAGGTTCTCCCAGTGGAGGACGGCTGCAGAGGCTTTGTAGCCAGATAAACCACTAGGCTTCTTCAAAGCATGGGGGTCCGAGGGCAGGCACTCCGACAGGCCATCAAGTCACTGGGAGAAGCAGCTGACCAAAGTAGCAACTGGCTGTGGCTGAAAAGGAGAGATTCCATCTGGGCTGCAAAGTAGTAGAAGGGGTAAAAGCGGTGTGGGGGGGGCTCACCTGGGACGCCAGGTGAAACCGTTGAGCCCTCTGGAGATGTTGTGGGCCTATCAACGAAACACTGAGGAAAGACGGTGCCCACCTTATGACCCCAATGATGTTATTACCCCTTTATCTACTCAAGAACTCAAGAAGGTGCCAATTATTATAAGGGATTTAAAAAGAAATCAAATCCTATGAGCTCAACAAAGTAGGGGCCGATCCGACCCATTTCAGCAAAAGCTGTTCTTTTCAAGGGGCTTGTTAAATATATCTTAAAAAGTGTGTTTTCTGCTTCCTCATTGTTGGACAATGTTTGAAATTCAGAAATTCGCAAGTTTAAATCGACATGAAACTGCTTTTGGGATGGCAGCGTTTAAAATGATCAGATTTTTGTATTTAGAGCAGAAAATTGAAACCTCACATAATAATCACTCACAATCCATACCTCGAGTTGGCCACTTTCACACTGGGCCGTCTCAAGCTCTGGGAACTGATTACAAAATCTATTAATGTGGAACATTTAAGGTGCAACAACAGTCAATCCAAAACATCCCTCTTATTATTGTATGTGAGCAAGTGAATGTCATCAGCACATGAGCAGGAAGCTCAAACAGACATACAGACCTTCAAAGGACTGCAGAGCCTATGCAGTCATACTGAAGATGTACACTAGTGGCCCGTTGAACTATAAAACCAAGCCGTTAGCTGAAATAGCATACAGCCCTTTGTATTAAACAAAAGGTTTAGAAAACCACAGTCATGGTTAAATGAGTGAAGACATTAGCAGTTGTATATCTTCCAGCAGTCAATAACTGTCCAACTCTCAGCTAAGCCAGCTCAAAACAAACTTGTAACACTGCACCAACCTATACACATTGCTGGTTGGTATAGTATTTATATTCAAATATGAGCCTACATTTTCTTTAATTAATAACACGATCTGTGAGCCGATGATTTTTTGTGCTTTTATTCCTATTAGCTGTAGCCAAAGCAGCAGCTATGATGATTACTTTACTCTTTGACCAGGTGACATTATGGAAGGCGAGCAGAGTGTTTCCATAAGAACAGAACAACAGTGGTAGCCAAGCAGATCACAGCTTATGTGCAAGGTCTCTGCACACTCTGGGCTACACACTTAAGTTGTTTTTACGAATTCAACGCTCCTGTATTGTACATATTGTTGAGGTCTGATGATGAAACATGTCCAAATTGTGAACTTTGCAGAATAAACAAAATATAGTCTCGATTCCTGGTCCATTAAATGAAAGGGGTTAATTGGGGATTCAACACATTTCTTAGAGCAGGATCTACTTAATATGATCCATTTGACGCGTTTATTTTATTTAAGCAGGGAGAAAGCATAGGGATCCATGCCCTCTGTTAGAAGTTACAGTATAGTAACAAATGAGGCAGTCTTTTGTTACTGTACACAGTAAAGACATGCATTTGATCCTTTACTTTAGTCCTATTGGAGGATGTTCAACTTGTAGCAATTGTGCATCATTATGTCCAAGTCTATAACTCTGAAATATTCAAATATACAGTGTAAGTCCTTTGTGTAAGGTACTACTGCAAGTTTTTTTAGGCTGTAATTTATCGTGTAAATGGCTACATCTCAGTTAGACGCTGAGGTTAATCCTTTTTAGGACTATATCCCCTCTAGTGATCACATCAAACCAATAGAAAACAAGATCAGAAAAAAATGTTCCACTCAACCTGCCAATCACCATCTATACTTCCTTTAATGGAAAAGTCTGCGTAGGACATGACACTGTTTCGCTTTGCTCTAACTCTTGGTCATCATCACACATGGACGGGTTGCACGTTTTCATTTATGTTCTCTTGGGTAATTATTTTTGATTTATTAATTACAAATCCATTTGGAAAGAATTGGTATTTACCTTCTCTTTATGTTTTTAGGAGGAGGAATCTGCCCCTGCTGTAATGTGAAACCCTGTTACACTGAGCCTATTGTGTTTGTTTTCCAGGAGTTGTATCTTTCAGTCATGGTTGGACCTCTGGATCAGAGTTGGAGATGACAGTCAGACCAGGAGAAAACATCAGTCTCTACTGTGACTGCAAGTTATCAACCGGAGTATACATCGTGTGGTACAGGAACTGCTCTCATGAGAACCAGCCTTCTCTCGTCCTTGATAAAAATGGATGGACAAAATCCTCTACCGCTGATCACATACTGAATCCTCTCCCTCGTTTCCACTTTGTGAGAAACTTTTCCTCTGATACCTATGACCTGCTGATCATTAACATCACTGAGACCGATGAAGGGCTCTACTACTGTGGAACTGAACAGTTGAAGGTGGAGAAAGAAGAGCACATTACTCGCAGACAACTTTACAAATATGGCAACATCTCAACAAAGATCCAATTCAGTAAGTATGCTGTTCTTGTTTTGATCTATGGTTGATTGCAGTGAATGTAATCAGAGTTATGAGTGCACTTATATCATTGATGATCTAAAAATAATATAAATTATTCCATTCAACAGCACACGTACAACACATTTTGTACATGAAAGACATTTGCATCAACAAACCCAACTTGAAGTGGAATAGTGTATAGACTTTTTCAAAAACAATTCAACCCCATTTTTGGGGCACATGTATATGTACATGTTAGTCACCCTTAAAAGGGAATTGAGGATTATCTATGCGTTTTTTTATGGTTGGGTTAGAAAAATATGAGAGGAAAGGCTCAAACAATGTTAGATGTCGCATATAATGGTGGAATTAGC